TTTGAACTGTGGCAGTGAGGGACACTTTGTGCGGGATTGTGACAAGGGGTACATTAACGCCTCGAACATGTTGAACAAAAATTTGGCAACCGGGTCAAAGGCCGAAGTGAAGGCAAGGTGGGATCGATGCTTGCATCGCCTGAGGCAATGGCAATCAAATCGGATGGAGGAGAGGAGGAGGGAGAGGAATAACTGATGGTACGACGGTCAGTTGGCCAGCTTGCCGGTAGCACCTTGGCCAAGATGCTTTGTGGGTGATCAGGCAGAGAATGAAGAGAGGAAGGAGGGAGAGGTGAAGGGAAACAGGAGTGAACGGTATTGCGAAATAGAAAATATTTCTCGCGGAGTGAAGGTGAAGAATGGAAGGGGTGAAAAATACTACGAGATTGAAGAGAAATCTCGAGGAGTGAGGGTGCAGGGTGAAGGAGGTCTCAGGTATTGTGATGACGAAAAGAAATATCGCGGACAGAAGGGAAGAAAGCAGAGCCCAGGACCGGGATCAAAACAGAATCTCGGGGAGGCTGAAATAAAGCGAAAGCAATCATCACGCGAGAACATCGAAGACGACTCGGCGGGTGGGATTGTTGAGGAGGAGGGGGGCCGATCGGTGGTGCACAACACCGAGGGTGATGGCCTGGCGACGGGGATCGTCTCGTCCAATCACGGTAAGCGACGTTTTTCAGTATCTAAGGAGTATTCCAAGCAGGGTGGAAGTAATTATCCCAAACTTCAAGTGGTTTCGGGTGCTGACAAATTGAGCTGCACGGGTGTCGGCCGTGGGAGCAAGAATGTATTGAGGACTAGTACCCCGCAAGAAATTCTTGGTCGTAGTGTGTCGCAAGATGCACGTGCACAGCTTCAGGAACCAATCACTAGTAAGACACACAGGGATTTTCCAGAAGTAGGGGTGCCGAACACGCCCCCTTCGTCAGATCAAACGAAGTCTAGCATTGGCAGAATGGGAAATGTTACTGACAATGCAACACCAGCGGGGAATGCGTTAAACACTCAAAGGAAGGAAACACGCAAGACAAATTCTCCGAGAACAGTGAGGTGTCCGCTGTATCCTCCAGCGGAACACACAGTTGGTCGAAATGGAGCCAAAAAGGGGTCGATTAATAGGGACACTAGAAAGGAAAAAAGCGTTACCATTGATCGTGCTGGCAGCAAGCAGAACCATGAAACTGTTGCTTTACCAGTGATAGGAGAAGAGGGCGTGATAGGGGATGCATCCGCCTCTGAAATTTCTCTCAAGCGTGAGGTTGAGATAACAGCGCAGGAGGGAGGAAATTTTGGTGAAACACAAGAAGGAACAGATCGCATTTTTGCTGTACAAGTATCTGTTAAATCTGTGTCAGGACAAGGGAGTGATGCGGTGTACCCTCCGCCTCCTTTTACGTTTGCTGCAGGTGAAGCGGCGGACTACCTGTCACCAGATACTCGGTCGGTGNTACCTGTCACCATATACTCGGTCGGTCGGTGGGGATTTGACGATGGATCGACATCGGCATACGACTAGAGTGCAAGTGTTCGCGGGGTCGAGAGCGACAAAGATGATGTCGTGGGAGGCTCTGTTGGATACGGGAAGTCCGGCATCGTTTGTACAAGAAAGGTGTGTGCAAAAGATGTTAGCATGTGGTTCAGCTTCAGCTGATAGCATCGAAACAGGACTAAACAAGAAGTGGGGTGGGTTCCATGGGGTGCCGTTGGTTACAGATCGAAGAATGCGATTAAATATTGAAATGTGGAAGGGCGGAAAATCAGCGCCGGTTCAATTCGGTACGCCGACGGTACGGACGAGTGTGTATGCGTACATCGTGCCAGACTCAGCTATGGGACATGATCTGATACTAGGGAGGGATAGTTGGGCTGATTTTCCAGTTCGCAGATTCCAAGACGTGTCGGACACAGAAACAATTGTCACTTTTGTCAGTGCAAATACTGATAAAGTGGCAGGAGATCACCGCTTTGAGGAATGGGTGGGTAACGCGGTTGGTATGGTGGAAACGGAAGGTGATGGAAAGGTGGTGGTAAAATCTAATGGTGGTAGACGATGGCTTCCAAATGCAATGTCATGGGTTGAGGTAAAATTATCCAACCTAGATGGCAGTGACGCTGCGGTGGGGACGTACCGTGTGCAGTTTGGGAAAAAGTGGCTCCCGCAGGAAGAATTGGTCGAAAATGGCTCGTCGGAAATTCCTCTCAAAAGAGTGGGAGATAGCTCGTGTCTGGTGAAACCCAACGATATTTTGGGTATGGTGGTGAACNTGGGGTATGGTGGTGAACCCCTGGAGGTGGTAAATTTGGATGATGCTCGTTTGGTGGAAAATGAGGAATTCAAAAATGTATTTGCGGTTAAGGAGGGTGAAGAGGCTGACGTGCCCAACGACGAACCTCCCGCGGATGTTATGTCTTCTTTGAATGGGGCGCAACAGGTGGCGTTCAGGCGGTTGTGGCAGCGAGTGCCTCCGCACATTCGAGACGTCCATTTCGACTTCAATGCCAAACTGTGGGAGCCGGAAGACATTGACAAACTAGGTGATTTATTGTGCAAGTTTGAGCATCGTTTTTCAAAGGGTGGTTCGGATTTAGGACGGGTGACGGTGGATCCGTTTCGAATCATTTTGAAGCCGGGGGCACAGCCAGTGCGGCAGAGGCCATATCGCTATTCACCGGTTATGAAAGAAAATGTGCAGATCGAAATTGACAAATTGCTGTTGGCGGGGGTGTTGCGGAGATCGTACAGCAATTGGGCGAGTCCGTTGGTAGTAGTCGCGAAAGCTAATGGTGGTGAGCGGTTGACGGTCAACTACAAGCGCATCAACAAAGTGAGTGTAATCCCGACATTGCCCATTCCGATAGTGGAGGATATATTTGCGGAATTGGACAAATCGAAAATCTTCAGTACGCTGGATTTGGTCAGTGGGTTTTTCCAGTGCAGTATTGAGGAGGACAGCATTCCGATCACTGCTGTTATCACGTCTACGGGGTTGTACGAATTTTTATCCGTCCCGCAAGGTCTCAGTAGTAGTCCTGGGTGGTTCCATTCGGTGATGGCCAGAGTATGTGACGGACTGGAACGTGTGCGTCTGTTTATCGATGACGTGATCGTCTTTTCCAGGGACGGGGCGGAACACGTGCGCGACCTGGAAAGGTTTTTCGAGCGTATGGTCAAGTTCAACCTGAAATTGGCACCCAAGAAGACGAACCTGGGGGTGAAGGTCNTTCCGTGTTATGAGGGTGCGATCTCGGGAGAGCGGCCGTTTCGGTTAACCGCTGATGCGTCAATTTCGGGCTTGGCAGCCGTAATTGAGCAAGAGCAACGAGATGGGAGTATTAGACCGCTATGCTTTTTGAGCAGATCAACAGTCCCGAATGAAACCAGATGGAGTCCGACTGAGCTTGAAGCGGGTGCGATAGTGTGGGCGATTAAGAAGAATCGAACACTATTTTATGGCATCCCCTTTGAAGTGTACAGTGACCATCAACCCTTGCGAAATTTGGGGAGTTTGGCAGAGAAAAACAATCGCGTACAGAGGTGGTATGACTGCCTGTCAGCGTGCACGAATAAACTGAAGTATCGACCAGGGCGAGACAATGCAAATGCCGATTTGATGTCACGGTTGCCATTGCCTGCGACGAAAGAGGATGAGGCACCAGATGCCAGGCTGACTGATCCGTCTGATCTTGATGTTTATATGATAGGTGCGAGCGGGGTGCTACCTTCGCGATTGGGTCCGGTGTATACCGAGCGAGAGGCGCTCGCTGGGTCGAACCATCGCGATGATGTCGTGGTGGGGGAAAGTGGCTGTACACCGGCAAGCCTCACTACGGATGAACTAGCAGACAAGACGTGGGCGCTGATCCAAAGGGGGAAGGGCGTGTCCAACCCTTTGCCTGATGGTGCGTGTGTGCCTGATGACACCCGGTTGGTGGAACCGAGTGGGGAAGTAGTCAGTGGTCAGTTTGAGCCAGGGCTGATATTGCATGCGGTTCCTTTAACGGAAATTGGCAGACGCTTGTTGGGATTGGTGGAAAAATCGCGAGTTTATGCTATTTCTCAAGGAGGGGGCAGTGCCTCTGGTGGTGATGGTGGTAGTAGCAGTAACGCTCTTGGGAGTGGGGCTGTTGCTGATGGTGGGGGTAGTAGTAACGCTCGTGGGAGTGGGACGGTTACTGGTGGTGGGGGTGGCAGTAATACTCGTAGTAGCAGGGCTGTTGCGCGTGGAAGGGGTCGAGGAAGAGGGGCTGCTGGTGGTGGTAGGGGAAGGGGTTCCGGGGGCAGGGGTCCGGCAGCACCTCCGTTGCCTCAAATTCCGTTGCAAGAGTATCATGAAGAACAGGCAGACGCAAGCGGCAATTGAATTTGGGAAAAATTTATGTGATAAGACGGCTAGTGATTGGGCAGATATTCAGGAGGAAGACGACACGGCGCGATTAGCAATAACGGCAATTGAAGGGCACGCTGATCCAAAGAGAATGAAGGAGGGAGATATTCCGGAAGGGGTAGATGTCGACTTGGATGAGTTGAAGCGGTTGGTTTCCCAGGGTACTTTGTTGGTGTTGCCGAATTCGAAGCATTTGTTGGTGAGGAAATAATTAAAAGCCCCTGCGGAAAATCCAAATAGCAATCCAGGGCAATTTGAGAGGTTGGTGGGTGAAGAGCCAGTTCGGACGTATGTGCCTAGGATGTTGAGACC